CACCACTTGGATTTGGGGTTGGCTGTTTGTTTGAGGTTTTTCTGATTTTGAGGGGGTTTTTTTGTTTGGTTTTGTTGTTTTTTGAACAAAACAATTCTATTGCTGAATTTCCTAAAACTGTCATTTTTGCAGTGTTTGTTTTATACCTTTAGCAACACTTCTCGTTGAAAATTTTGTTTATACAATCCCACAACGATTATGAGGTTACAAACTCATTTTTATCTCTACAAATAACCTTCCCAGACCTCCTGCAGGTTTTCTCCTGAGCCATCACTGCTGGACTCTAGAGGAACAAGACTGCTGGGCATGAGCCTTTCACCCATGGCTGCATCTGGCACTAGAGCACACAGGGCAGCCTCAGCAAAATGACAAATCCTTCCAAGGAATAGAGGCTGGTGACAGCCTGGGAACATGGGGAGGACAGATCCTGACAATCACTGAGAGCTTCTGAGCCATCTCCATCACTCTCAAACATGGACATCATTTCAAGAAGGTCAGCGACACTTCCAGGCATGAATTAAGGGAGTGCAGGCTTGTCCCCATCAGAGTGGCTCTGACACAAAGGCCAATAAAGAGAAAATGTCTCACTGAACTATATTGGAGCTGACAAAGGCAGCAGCTGCTCTGCTCCACAGGGCAAATTTATATCTACAGTGGGCACTGGGAAAAATGGATCCTTATGGAAATTACTGTCAGCTCATCCACTCTTGCCACAGTGCTAAGAGATCCCAAAGAAGAAACCGATCAAATCAGAGCACAACTGAGTTCTTAAACCATGAGAATCCACAGATTCATTCAGAGGTATTTCTGAAGAGTATTCAAAAACACCAGGAGCTAACATTTCCCAGCACACACTGTAAAGAATACTAATAAGTTGGAACAGTAGTGCCTTCAAAAGATACAGATCTCTTTGCTGTGATTCAGAAGCTCCTAGAGGATTTGAAGGATGGATGTTTTGGCATGAGGTCATCAAACCTCATTTTATTAGTGCACAAGGGAAAAATTTACTACTACTACTACACTACACAGTTGGCCAAAGAAATAATTATTGAGTATGAACTGGCTTAAGCAATAACTGGTAAAAATCAGAATTACTTGAAAAACGAGTGATCTTACACCCTGAGATATTGAGATTGCACAAAACTAAACAAGTGAAAAGAACCCCAAGAGTCCATGTGGTATAAAACATGGCATGGAAAACTGCTGCTGTACCCTAAATCAGCCTTCTCCATGGACTAAGGGACAAAGTCTGTGCAGTTTTGTATGCTGCCATTTGTCCAGTGTTTTGCAAATCAATAATGCAGAAAGTAAGCTCTCAGCAACACATTCTGAACTAAGCATTTACAGACAATATAACTGCATTTAGCACATCTGTTCCTGTATTTCTACACTATCAATTTTTCTTTTTTTTTTTTTTTAGTATAACTAGTAGTAAATAGCACATTTAAGTATTCTGATGGTCTAAATGAGTTTTTAAACACTTGTGTCTATTTAGTGTGACCCTTTATGTTTACTCTTTATATAAACTAGGATGTGACAATGCTTAGGTAAGGGATAAGGGTCAGAGAGGGCTTTGCACATTCTTCATGGACACCTGCTTTGCACTGACAACATTTTGTTCTCCCAACTCTCTGCAGATGCTTGTCTCAAAAAGCAAATAACCCAAAGATCAGATTAGCAGCCTGATATTTCCATGAGGGCAGCTAAGACTGGCAGACCTCATAAAAGTACTGAGTAGCCCTGAGACCAGCCTCCACCCCTAAGAAGGATTAAACACAATTAGCATCAGGAAAGCAGATGTCTAACAAAGTAATAAACCCTAACTTTTACACAAGGTTAAAAATTTCCCTCTCCTTTCCTCTATTCAGCAAATGATCCATGGCTCCCAAATGTATCTCTTTGCTGCTTTACACCACCTCCAGACTCCCTTATTCTCTCATCAGTCAATTCATTGGCAATCACTTGTCAGCAAAAAAGAAAAAAGCGAAACAACAAAAACGCTTGTTGAGCAAATGTCAGAGAACATTAAATTAACCAGTCAAAGATCAGCAATGAACAGCTGACACCAAATTGAACCCAACACATGGCCCCATTCACATTATTGTTAAACACACATAGTCAATCGCCTCTGCCTTCAAAATTACATTAAAGGATCTTTATTTTATAAAACAAAAATATTTGCTTGTGGATGAACAGTCAGCCTAACATTAAGTACATCATAAAAAGTAAGCTATTACTTTCATGCAGTTTGGATTAAAGGTACTCTCTTACCTCTGAGTACAAACTAAGTTATTAAGCATTTTCTCTTTAGCTCAAAGAGACCCTAAATATATTTCTGGGGACTTCTATTTGTTTACAAAGTGTATATAATCTTATGGGAAGACCTCCCAGGCACCCCACCCAAGACTGTATTAAATTCCTCACCTGCTCCATGGAGTCCCCGTACACCCCCAGTGCCCCAAGGGAGGATGTGATCTCCAGTGCAAGGCAGCCAAGCCCCCTCAGCTCATGGGGAGATGAGCTGGGCCTGGCAGAACAGCTCCATCCCAAAATGACCCAACAATCAGCAGCACCTTTATGCTCATTTCTCCCAAAACAATGATTTCAGCTTGTCCCACCAGCACCCACCACTTGCCTTCCCCCAGGAGCACACACAGCTGCTTCAGCCTTGCTGGGTAGAAATGGGATTTGGCACAGCAACTGACGACTCCAGAATGGAAATATCAAATACCACACAATAGAAATGCATCAAAGAAAGTGAGAAGCCTGGTGGCTTTCTCCCCTGGCAGCAAGGGCCATTCTGTGCTGGAGCTCATCAGTTAAGGACAGGTTATATGGGGACAGAGACAGAATTCGATTTGGATGTGAGGGCAAGGAACCTAATTACAGACATCCATTCTCTCCCAACAAAGGACAAAGCCAACCAGGCAATATTTGCAATATTTTAAACACAGGAGTTGAAATGACACATGAAAAGAATCATATTTACAAGAGACTAAGGTACCCAGAGTGACAGGTGTGTTTCCTTTTATTCCTCAAAAAGAACTTTTTCAGCACTGAGTAAATCTCATTACTTCTCTCTATGCCTGTCACCCCTCCCACTCCTTGTCTTATTTAGGTAATAATTCTTAGACATGTTTATACTACACATCTCCAGAACAAGAGCTGCCACTTTACGTTTCAGCAACACCTCACACAACTTGGTTGTGATTTCAGTAAATCAATCTAGGCAATCTACTCAAAATTTAAATAACGTTTTTCAAAAGGGCACAAATTTGCCTCCTAAATCCATATTTAGTCCTGAAAATGTTTCTACAGAAGGCCAGAACAGACTCCTTGTTCCCCACACACATCTCATCCTCATAGATCCCAATATCCTGTATTGTAGACCCTCTCCTAATGTAAATTTTCCACTGCAATGTGTTAAACTAAAATAGAACAACAAGGATTTCTGCCTTGTGAATACTAAGGCATGTATCACAAGAGACCACAGTAGCACCTGCGTGGTTTTGGAAGCCTCTGCCAAAACCAAGCCACAGTCAGGTAAGCCTTTGGAAGTGCTGAATCCACTGGTGGAGAATTCTGATCACAGATTATTTTGGCCATTAAAAAAAAAAAAAAAAAAAAAAAAAAAAAAAAAAAAAAAAAAAAAAAAAAAGAACTTCAACAAAAAAAATGAAACTGCCCGTATGGCAAATCTCTGTATGCAGAGCAGAGAGGAGAAAATCAGCTTGCCTTACAATGCCCAACTGTGTCATAGGTGATCATTGTCACATCCCAGTGTGGGCACAAGGGTGAGATGCCACAACACTGACACCACTACACGAAACCAGATACTCAGGAGTGCTCCATAAGCTCTCTAGTGCTTCACTGTAAAAGATACTGATAAAAAAAAGATATACAACTATTGCTTAGTTCAAAAGCCTTGTTAAACCCTTCTACACAAAATCATCCTCTCTCCTTCACTTTAACAGTACTCACCCTGATAAAAGCTCTCTAGAGTCATGATTCTTAGACAACAGGATTAGGATCATTATAATAAAATTAGTAACTGCTCAGGTAATCTATATGGAATTTGTTTGTCATTTCAAAATAAAAAAGCAAATCCACTATGACAATAACCAAGCGTATTTGAAGCAAAACTTTTCAGACAGAAAACATCTGAGCAGTCACAGTTCCACCATGATGTCCCTAATCATGAATTATCTACTAATAAAAGAAAGGAACTACTGCTTGTGTGAGAGACTTAATGCTTACTCACATGCAAAATTTTAAAATTAAAGTAATATTAAACCCCTTGTGCAATGTGCAATGCCCTGGTAAGACTTCACGTGAAACATCTTGCATGGTTCTCACCACTTGGGTTCAAGAAGGAAGAATTCAGACCAGAAAATGACCTGGGAAATTAGGAGAAAGTCTTGTGAAAGAAAACTCTTAGGATTAGGTTTATTTGAACTTCACAGTAAGATGCTATTTGAGCACTCCCAGAACAGTGAGGAGCAGAGCAGCCAGCAGAGATGCTGGCTACAGCCCCCCAAAAGCACATGAACAGGCTGGGGGAGTCAGAGCAGATGAGGCTGGAGGAGAATTCAGGGGCATCTTCCTACCAAGCCAAGTGGATTTCAGATTTTATATTCATGGAAATGGTGAAATTGTTACATTAATCAGAACACTGTAACAGTAAAGTCTGATTAAAACAATAAACCTTCTATCTCCCATGCTATTAAACACCATCTGCATCTATCCCTCCGTGCTCCAAAACCAGAGCAAGACTTAGCACAAAACCACATACAACTGGGAGCAAAAGAAATAATAAGGCTTTTAGGAAAGTTTATGGAATTTTTAAACATTCCTCCGTGTCCTATGAGGGAAAGAAGTAAATAAACCAAAATCAAGCTGCAATCCCAAAATGCATCCTGTACCAGAGCAGGAATGCTTTTTGAAGGATCACCTACCTCAAATCCCTTTCCAGTCTGTTTACTGCCATAATCACAGAACAGAATTAAACGAGGCTCAAACTTTACACCTGAATTCTAAATTATGACAAACAGATTCATCTGGAATATTTCAGAAAGCCTAAACCAAGCAACATACAGCATCTACATGCATTTTTAAATTTGCACTTCTGAAACTCCTTATATAAGGATTTTTTAATGATATCTGCACTAAAACGTGACATGTATCATTTGTAACAAAGCAGTTATAATACGGCATTAATTTATCTTGAGATATAAACGTCTGAATATGCACATTAAGACATTTTCATGTGATTGTTTTCCACTTACTTTGATTTCTGTAATGACATCAACTCCTTAAATAACTAATACAATTCGGGATATTTAGATTTTTGTAATATTTAAGTATCTATGTATTGTACAGAAAAATACACACTGTGGTGGGCTGTCCCTGGCACGTGTATGCACACATCCAGTACCTGTATCTGGGAATTTAATTGTGTGATACAAGTGCTGCCACAAATGATCCAAGTCTCTCCTAGAAGGTGTGTGGAGGCTTCCCTCTTTGAGAGTCTGTTTCAGTCCCTGCCGTGGTGATTAGAAGCACCCTGCTGCATTTTGAGGTCTTTATAGAGAATACTCAAATGCCCACACTGTCTTTTTTTTTTTTTTTCTGGTTAGGGGTGCCAATAAAACAGATTTTTCTCTCTTGTGATCAACCCAACATCCCTTTTTTCCTTTGCACTGACCATTTGTAAATGATGCCACAACTGTGTACAATATTCTGGGTGAGGTTTCACCTGTCTCACTGCTTTCACACCTCCTTATCTCTGCGGAATGCACCTTTCCTGACACCTGTCAGGAACAAGTCTGCCTTTTGCACAGCCTTATGATGCTGCAGTTCACAGTTGTGTTTTCCACTCCTGACTGATCCTCAGAAAAAAGAGGTGTGTGTCCTTGCAGCTCACTGCCTGCTCACAGGCTTCTGTGTTAAAAGAACATTTCCTTAGCTGTGTGATTAAATAGAAGTGTAGGGAATGTATGATTACGTGCAACAGCCTTTTTCAGACCTATCCTAACCTATGAAACACTGAATTATACTTTGCTATTTATTTTAATCTTTGCAGGGTGCCAGCAACTAAGCCTTCGATGCAGACATCTAACAACTGGCTGAAGTTCCACACTTTTTGGCTTGGAAAAGCTGGGTAACAGCCTGTGATTCTATTCCAACACCAAGTCAATAGTCAACTGCAAGATAATGCTATGACGATTCCAATAAACTGCTATAAGCACTAATAGAGATGGCAAAAGCTTAGGGAGCTGCAGGAATTCTTTCCCTTACTTAATGAAAAGTAATGCTAAGTCAGCTAGCAAAAATAGGCCTATCAAATCATAACTTTGCAAATCTCTTATCAGTCCAGTCAATTCTTCTCTCTCAGTTTTTAAGTTAAGCACTTGAAAATCTCTTCCAGAATGAAGTGTTTCTTCCAAATAAGTATGTTCCCTTTGCTGTATGCTCCACATCAGCCCAGAAGGCACATACAGATAAGAGCATTAAAGGGAAATGTTTAATAGAAGGAGAAGTCATGTGTAAACCAGGACTGAAATTTTATACATAGAGATAAACCTTTTAACACTCTCTTCACAGAGAACATTTTGAATTAGCTCACTATTTTACAAGAAAACTTTTTCCCCCATTTTTTACAATAACATGTTTTAAAAATCCAATGGTTTACCCAGCTTAGGGCCTGTTAACTTCTGCAAATCTCAGGTACTGATCCAGCTGGCACCACTCACCCCTGGCACACATTTGGGGTGGTGCAGAGCAGAGTCATTCCTTCTTCCCCAGCCCATATGGACATGGCCCAACTCCTCCTGCACCTCCTGACCTTTAGCAGGAGCGATTTTCCCATTCCTTGGATCTCAGGGTCTCCTATGGAGCAAAGCCCAGGATGGGAACACTAAGGTACACGTACACCCACACCCAGAGCCTGTCTGCTGCTGTGGAAATGAGAATCTGGTCCTGCTCAAAGGTTACAGCTCATGTACAAAGTGCTCATGAAAAAACTTGCACGTTTCTTTTCTCTCGTGTTATTCAATGTTTTAAAACTGAAGCGGAAAATAATTACGGGGAGATAAAAGTCATGAAATAATTATATCTGCTTAACAGTAACTACATTCATATTTTTTAAACGGAAAACACAAAGAATAAAGGTGACAGGGAAAGCTGAGCAGCTTTCAGTTTTCTCCAGCTCTGTATAATCCATAAGTCTGACCTCAAACGAGAGAAGACAAAAGCTACAAAAGTCACAAATAAAATCCTAAAAAAAAAGCAAATGTTTGTGCATCTGAAACCTGTTTTTGAAACACTATTATGGTACATTTCACAATAAAATGCTACAGCCTCTGCAGACATTACTGTAGCTCTTCAGTCAAGTTTCTTTTACTCCATTCAAAGAAACAAATCTTTCAATACAGGCCTATCCTGGGGTCATTTATTACATCATGTCAGACACAGAAAGTTTCATCTTGAGAAGACATACATAGGGTTTTCATTCATTAGTTTCTTACAGGCTCAAATAACCAAACGAACAAACACAAAAAAAACCCAAAAAAACCACAAAAGCAAACTCAACCTAACACAAACCAACCAAACCACGAAAGAAAACCCACCCTGGAAAGGTTATCTACTGCCAGTAACATAGTGACAGGTTAGTTAACATGTTTCTACTGATACAATAGCAGGGAAAACCTTGTGAAAGGACGCAACATTCTCCTATTTGTATACGTTGTATTCATGCTACAGGGCTGGGGGCTTGTAAGATACCTACGGGACAATTTGAACTTGGCAGAAAGAAAAAGGATCACATGCTTTTTATAACCTTTAATCATCTCAAAAACAATACCTTAACCCTTGTGAATTCTCAAAGCCATAAAACAGTGGAGTGGGAACGATCCTTGTTTTGATTACATTAGAAAAAGGTGTTTGCACAAGGTGTGAAGCTGACTCAGAACAGTTAAACAAAAAGTAAGAGCGAAGGAGGCGTTACACTCTATGCTGAAATATTGTGTCTCAAATGTAAAATGGAAATAAAATGAGAATTAAACATTTGTTTCTAGAAACCCAGGAATAAAAAACTCCGAGGTCAAAATAATTTTATCAGCTGTGCACAAGTCACTCAGCACAAACAGGAGCAAGCTACACAATTCTTTTTCTCTCAAGAGTAGGCAATACCTTAGAAAGCAGACATATAGTCTATTCAGCGAAAAAATTATCTGGGTTACTGTCTGGCCACTCCTTTGAATGTCCAGTAATAAATAAACATCAGTACTAAACATCAATATGGTTCAGAGAGACTGGCAAGAAACCTGTCATGATTGCCCAGGAAATATACCAACAATGAAAGCAACCTTGTATTCTGCAGCTAATTCAAGATGACAAGATGGCAGCTGAATGGATTGTATAGTGGTGTGTGACAAAAATTAGGCCACCATCCCCCAAAATTATTCGAGGACAATATTATGGAAAAGGAGTTACCAACACAAAGTTTCAGCAGAGTTATTTCACGTTGCACCCTTATGGCAACATCACAGTTTTTACAAACTTATCTGAGTAAGTTTTGCAGGATCTGATATTTGGGGAATCCAGGATGACAAGCAGATAAATTTATCCTGGCTGCCTGAAAAGCCCTATATTACAAATCTCAAAAAAAAAAAAAAAATCCTAACATCCCTAAGCTTCCACATTCTGAATCTTACCATTTCAACCACGAAGTGATTCTTGCCATCACCACCCAAAACTCTCAGCAGAATATATCTGTCTTTTGTTGGCATAATCAGCTCACCCTAAGCAATGACTGGCAAGCATTTTCTCATTCTTTTTTCCACAGAAACCTCAGTGGACCAAAGGAAGGAGGAGAGAAAGCAGAAGGGAAAACGTCTGAAGTATTTACTCTGACACTCACTTAGCTGAGGATTCTTTTCTTTTTATTTAATACATATATGCATGCACACACGCACATATAAATATATATATATATATATATATATACATATTAAAGCTGTCTTTCTTTGATCCACTTTATCAAGACAGAGCAGCCAAAGCCTCTGGAAGGGCTCTGCACAAAGCTGAGCTCATCCCTGGCAGAACCCGGGCTCCCGCAGCTCCAGCACCCAGCAAAGCACGCCAGGCAGGAGGCGATGCCACAAGGGCAATAATCTCTGTAATTCCCTGACTGCATGGGCAATAAATGTCTGCAGCTTGACAGGGAATGTGGGTCAGGAGCAGGGTATGGGCTGGAGGAGTTTTATCTTTTCTCCTCCTGCACAAGGAGTGGGTAAATCCAGTACTTTTCTTCCACTTGGATTTTGTTGGCCGCTACCAGCTATTTGATTTCTCTGCTTGATTTCCTAGCTCAGTTCTCACAGGTGCTGGTGCAGCCCGCTGGGGGCGGGTTTAAAGGCCAATGTATATGCAAAGACTTTGCAATACACCTGTGTACATAAGCTCTTTCTCCTTCCTAAAGGGCCCTTTGCATATGAAAAGCGAGAGAAAGGACTCACTTTAACCTCCCTCCCAAAATACTTGGCTCCAGCGGGAAGCTGGCTGGGGCAACCCCCACACAAAGCCGGCAGCCTGCACTGCCAGCTCACAAATTCATTATTCCAGGGGCTACTCATGCGTGAAATATCCGAAACTATCTGATCCCACGCGAAGGGCTGCTGGTGTATCCTGAGCTGAATGCTCCTTCACTAACACGTGTTTAGCACCTCATTCCTTGCGAGGAAAGTATGTAAAAACAGAGATTGTTACTTTACCAGCCGCGCTATAAATTTCTCTGATTGCAGAGCCTGATAGGAAGAGGTGCTGGGAACTCTTAACTCCTACATGGACTTCCAACAGAATTTTCACATATAAAGGCTAAAGGATTAGACCTGTAGCAAATCCTGCGGCTTTATTATAAATTTCTCCAGAAAATAAATCTTTCCTCTAAAAACTGCATAGAAATGTAATTTTCTTTGTTTAAATAATCTGCCAGAGAGACAGAAAAAACACATTTAAAGCTTAGACAGCCACTGTCTTGAGATTCTTTACATCAAATAGCTTAAAAAAAAAAAAAAAAGAAAAAAGCTGTTGATGAGAAGTCTCTCTAAGTTTTGATCAGAGTTATATCTTGGCACGGACAGTAATTCAAGCAGACAGGCAGATATGTGGGTTTCCTGAGCTCATTTATGCTGCAGGAATGGAGCAGCCACACACTTTATACTTACAGGGTGCAGTGGGGTTTTTCACTTTTCAGGAAAGGAGAAGAAAGGATGGGGAGGAGGCAGGGGAAGGGGAAATTTAAAAACAAAAACTATTGAGCAAACAAAACTCAAAATGCTCTCAGGCGACAAAATTATTCCAGCAAAATTGAAAGAGAGAAAACTGCTTCCAAGAAGAAGAAAACGATAAGAAAGACAATGAATAAATGAAGACGAGGGGAGAGGGCTACACACATCAGCATCAGTTGATGCTTCTGTTCTTAGTTTCAAACGAGCTTAACTACAGAGATGAAACAACAAGCAAACTGACCTAGAGAAGCCCAAAATATGAATTATGAGTAACAAATCTTGCTGCAACTCCATAGCAAAAGAGCATCCGCTTGGAGAGCACACCGGTCCAGCACCAGCCCTGCCACCCCAGGTACCCCCGCTCGCTAATGAAAATCCTGCCAGGGTAATTTTTCCTCAATGAGCGGCGGTGCTGGGCTGTTCCCGAGGTCCTTACCAGCTTCATGGTGCTGTTGTTCTGTTCCCAGCGCCACAGCATCACACTCATGGTCCGGCCGGCACCTGCCGCGCCCCGGGGCCGCCGGCGAGTGTGCCCGGGACGGGCTGGAGGGGTGGCGAGCCCGGCTGGAGGGGTGGCGAGCCGGGCTGGAGGGGTGGCGAGCTCGGCAGGAGGGGTGGCGAGCCGGGCTGGAGGGGTGGCGAGCTCGGCAGGAGGGGTGGCGTGCCGGGCTGGAGGGGTGGCGAGCCCGGCTGGGGGGATGGTGGTCCCGGCCGGCGGGGTGGCGAGCCCGGCTGGAGGGGTGGTGGTCCCGGCCGGCGGGGTGGCGAGCCGGCCATGCCCGGGGCCAGCGGGGCCAGCGGGGCCGGGCGGTCCCTCCGCGCCGGGGGAGGATCCCGCACCCCTCGGGGCGGGGGTGACCCCGGGCCGGCCCGGGGAGGGGTTTGCACAGAGGCGGGGAACATTCGAACGCGGAGATCAACCGAGTGCCCAGCCGCGTTCTAGCAAGATGCTCAAGGGCACGTTTTAAAGCAAAACTGCGAATTGCGGGAGTTTCTCCCCATTTTGAGAGCCTGGCTCTGTTAAAAGCGCAGGTTCCGGAGCTGTCGTGTTGTATCAGCATCTGGCGCGACCCGAGCTGCTTCCACTCAGAACTGAGTTTATACCGAAACCTGCTGGGGTGGGAAAGGACGAGGCTTGCCCTGAGTGAAAGGGGAGAGTATTCTGCCTTAAAAAATATTCAACGGGTGAGCATCGCAGATCGGATTCGGAAACATAAACAAAATAGATTGTTTAGAATAATAAGTAATAAGAAGTATTTTTAATATGCAGAAGAGCCGTTATTTCTTGTCAATAAATATCAGAGTTTGCCACATCGCATTTGAGACGCAGCTATTCCAGCTGTTTGTAAATGCCAGGCTATTCCACAGGTGCTCTCTTTCCCCCTCTGAAATGCCTCCCTGCTCCCCTGGAGCACCTTGCCCGGCACAGCAGTGCAGACAGGATTCTCAGCTGTGGCAGGATTCATGCCCGCTCTTGCCCAAGGTGCTGTGAAATCACCATGAAATCAGTGGGAACCACACTCCTCACCCTTCTGCTCTGCACGAAGTGCTACACCTGACAAAGGCCAGGCCGGGGAAATACAGGGAATTAAAACCCTTTTCAAACCCTCTCTCCAAATATAAGTTTTGATTCACATAAAGATAACTTTGCTGGCTGCAAAGGAGGGGAGGTAAGAAACGACCACAGGCATAACCCATAGCTAATGGATCCAGAGCCCACAAGCAGTTCAGCGAAATTCTCTAATTGTTAAATCATTTAATTATCCAGTAAAAAGATGTTAGAACATTTCTAAAAATACCAAATTGTACTCAAACTGATCACTTTTTTATCTGAAAATTCTCCTTTTGCCTGATTTTACTGGCAAGCCTGCTTCATGTATTCACTCAGTATGTTGCTGAAGAAATTCAATAAATCAGTAAATTAGCATTTGAAATTCTGCAAGTACCCTTTTTCATAAGAAAAAACTCATGTGCCTTCTTACTGAAGTCTTTTCCCTAGCAGTTATGCTTCCACGATTTAGATTTAATCCTTTCAGTCTGTAATTGTTTCCTTGTTCTAGTTTATTACATTACGTGATAATGAAGAAGAAATAATTATTGAAACAAGCAATCATATTCCTGCACTGTAAAAAGATTTGCCTCACCAAGTCTGGTAGGTTGAAGAGCTATGTACAGAGAAAGAGCTGCATGTTGAAAGCACTCAAAGACTTTATGCACACAGGTTACCTTTGAACTGCAGAAGTAAAATCTGAATCCTCTTCTGAGAATAAAGAACTCTTGTTCTTTCCCTTCAGGCCAACGTGGACCAAAGCCCTAGCACAGCCAAATCTTCCCAGCCAGCCCTCTACGTAAGCAAGTACCCTGCTGAAAGGTCATTCCTACAACACTCAGAAGAGAGGAAGGTCACAGCCCATTCGAGGGCTTGAACATAAGATGTATGGTCTTCAGGAGGGTCACAGGCTGAGACAAAAACCTGCTGACAGACTCATGAATGAGGGCATGAATGCGTGCACTGGGAGGGAGAAGCCTGGGTGTGATGCCAAAAGGATTTTCTGAGAGCATCCCAGCAGCACCTTGGAGGAGCTGCCAGTGCCTGCAGTGCGCGCTCCCGGCTGAGCTTTGTCCCTTCCCTGCCGCTGGCACGGTGGGAGCATCCCAGGGCTTCCCATCAACCTGCTGGCATCTGCCTAAATATCGTGACATGATGGTGTTCTGCTTCCAAAAAACACACCGACTTCAGGCAAAAAACCAAGGGAACTGAGACAAGTGGAGCTTTACACTTGCAGGATTATGGCCGGTACAAAGGGCCAAGACAACTCACAGCACAAGTCAGCGTTGCCTCTGACACTTCCTAAGCCTCTAAAAAGGTTGTTGGTGATCTGCTCTGCCAGTTTGGACAGCCAGATACTTTCATTCAACACTCAACCTGGTGCCAAAATCAGAAACTCTAAGAAACAAAGGAGAGGCCTCAGAAAATGGCAGATTTTTGTCTACCATCTCAGGGAAAACTCCTTTTTCTGGGATCCAGGGAACAGAGTAGAGCCAAACTGCCCCAGCAACAAGAGGCAGATTAAAAGACCAGATATAGATGGAAAAACTCTCTGGCCAACCAAGCCTGTTTCTTTGAACACAGTTTGCTGTCTGCTCTTACATTAACTGAAGTGTGGCTCAAGTTTGATTATTGTCTCATTTTATCCCTGTTTGAGCCAGCTGAGCACACTGAATGTGGACAGAGATGCTCACATGTAATCAGCCTGAAATACTAATAAAGCAAAGCTCCTGAGGTTAAAGCATAAGCTCTGTGCCTCCCAATCACTTTTTAAGCTAATTAATATCCTTAACTAAAATCTGTGTTGCTTTTAGACACTTTCATTTAGTGGATTTTCCCAAGCCAACCTTGATTTGGGATGAAGATCCCTCGAGTTCTGATAGCGTTGCCAGGTGTAACCGGAATTTATTTCTTCCATTAAAAAGTAAGACTTTGGAGATGCCTTTCATCCTTCTATCTCCTCTTTAGGCTCCCACATCACAGTGAGAGAGATAAGGTTAGGACTGAAGCTGGTAAAATCCATGCATGACCTCTTGCCCCCTGGCAGCATCCCGGCAGGAGCTCCTCCCCAGTTGCTGTGCCCCAGCTTTGCTG